CTGCAAACTCCACAGCCTGGAGCTGGCTGAGCAGGCTCTGTAACGAACTCACATCTATTCCATCCCTAACAGGAAAGGGCTGACCCATCAAAACGTCCTGTGTATCAGTCTGATCAGGAGCTGGCACAGAAGAATGTTCGACTAGAAAGTTTGACGAGTCTCTAGCACACATTGACACCGGTGTTTAACAAGTCAAACCTTGTGATTTAAGGGTTCCTGCCAGCCACGGAACCAACGTCACCAGGAAATGGTGCTGAACCAACACAGGACTGCTGTAATCCCTGCTAGTCCCCCTCCCATGGCTCCCCCCTTCACCACTGCAGGGTCTTCCCCGGGCTTCTTTGCCTGGCATCCAGGTGGTGACACACTGGAAAGGACCCCCAGCTGCTGTGGGGGACCTCAGCCCTTGCTTCTACCGCAGGAGGCTGAGCTCTGTAATACAAGAAGCCCCACGTGGGGAGGGAACTGCCTCATGCAGAGATGCACTGCAGCTGGGGCCACTGCTTCCCCGGGGACCAACATGCTGGCTGTCCCACCCTGGCTGGGCGATACCAGCCTTCTCCAGCCTCCTGGCTAGCTCATTCTCCAGCCAGACAGCATTTTTGGTGTTTAAAGCAGAAGTGCCCGACAGATTAACAGTGAAAATACACCTGGCTGAACACACGCTGCAGTCTCGGTGCTCCACAATCTGGAAATCCTCAGGCTGCATGTTCAAAGAGACATTTCCAACTTTATGTGCCAACTCGAGATCTAAAAGGTGCACTCATATTCAGCCCTCACTAGCCAGGCATCTAACGAGAGCATTTCAGCCCTTTGTAAGCCTGTCTTTTCTTACAACCTCCTGTTGGAAGGTAGCAATCAGCACCTCGCCTGGCAGCACATGGGAACAAGCAATAAATGCTTCAAGAGCTCTCCCCACCCCTGCAACCACCCCAGCACCAGATGCTTCTGCTGGGAGTGAGCCACTCCAGCGCTGCCGGCAGACCTGAGGGATATCCCAGGAACCAAGCTGGAGTGAGGATACATCCTTAAGCTCTTCATGTATCTCAACACTTCCCAGCTCATCCCAGTATTCAGTTTGCTGGACTTTCCTCCAGCCCGCAGCCTGGCTGCCTGCCTTGCGTGCTGCAGTCCTTGGTAGTCAGGAATCTCTTGCAAAAGGGAGGGAAGAAGCTGTTAGCACAAAGACAATGGGTATAAGGAGGAAACGAGAGCGTTAGCAGAGCACTTGAAAGCATATAGGATTAAAGAAAAATGCTACAGCCAGCCTTGGGAATCCCTCTGAGGAAATGAGGTGGTTGCAGCTCTCTCCGGCTTTGGCACAGGAGGGGGTCTTAATGCTATGTCATCTCTTCCACATCAGGAGATGGCAGCAAGCTTTGCCCAGTGCTTGGATTTGGGGGGGGAGGGGGCAGTGGGAGAAATGGTGCCCCCCCCCATCCCCAGCAAGCTTTTGTGAAGAGCCTGTCCCAGCTGAGCCGACACAGAACAGCCACCATGAGGCTGGCGCTGCCCTTGCAGCATCACAGCCCGCCCAGGACCTCTGCAGCTCCCATCGTGGTCCAGATTTCTTTTAAAAGCCAAAACCAGGACAGTGCTCATGTTTCCACCTCCCGTTTGAGTACTGGAAGTTGCTCAAGCCTCTTTTGCTCGCTAGGGAACAGCAGTCAGCCTTTGAATTTGAGTTCTCACCAATTTGCCTTTAAGAAATACCAGCCAAACACTCCCCCCCCCCCCCCC